TGGTCTAGGGATCTGAGTCCGCGTGTACGTTCGCCATAGTTCTTTCCTTAGCCTTCTTTAGTTGCATGGCCCTTGGGTTCATGCATAAGTTCTTCTTAGCTTTAGCCTTTCTCCTGACGGAGCAAACTCAGTGGCCCTGGCGATTCTTTCCTTGAGGAACTTGTAACCCTCTTCGAGGCTGAGGCTCTCCATCAAGGGACCAGTCCATTGACCTGAGGGGTCAGCCAGATGCTCGTAGTTTGGTGTGTCAGCTGCTGGGACGAGGAGTTTGTAGCCCAGAGTAGCAGGCCAAAGTATACCTGAACGACCACATGGTCACTGTTACCTAGCCCTGGCAAGTATCTGATTTGGCTCACCATGCCCTCCTCATTTGTGAAAATTAGATCCAGAACCTAGGAGCTTCACCAACCCGGTAGCGTGTTGGCTGCCGGACATGCTGAAACAGAAAAGCCCTGAATGGTGTCTATCAAAGAGTGGGTTGGGTGACTCTCTAGAGCTGACGACCGCTCTGTTGCCCAGTCGATCTGAGGCAAGTTAAAGTCACCTACAACTATCACGTGAGGAACTGGGCTCGCATGCTTTCTGAAGAAGGTCTTCCAGTTGGCCCACACTGTCCTGGATGTTGCCTGATGGACTTCTGTATATGCAGCCAAGTAACAGGGCATCCTTCCCACTCAAGGCCATCTTCAGCCACACTTGCTCCAGAGGACTTGACCCAAATGAGTGCTCAGCTGCGTTTAGTAAGTTGGACACATAGACACATATGCCTCTTCTACCACTAGATCCGAGGTTGGGCTGAGAGAGATTAAAGTTTGTGTACAGGGTGTACCCGGAAATCGATAGGAGAGACGGTGCAATAGGAAGCTCCTGGGCTTTGGGAAGGGCCTCAGTCAACAGCATGATATCTGGCTTATCATCAGAAATGAGCATACATAAATCATCCCTTTTAGTAAGGAACTGGTCAGCACTGGCGTACAATATCTTCAGACCTTGCCTACCCCTGCACTGATGAGCATCATGCAGTCATTGCGGACTGGGGGAACCAGCATCAGCCTGAACTTGAGTATGCTGATATGTGGATCCATCCCCAGTGACTGAGGTCGCTGTTCGGGAATGTACGTGAAGTTAGGGATTTATTTAGCGATTTTCAGCAACCAGTTTTACCTGACACGAAAAACTTACTTTGAGGCAACCATTTCATATAGCAAAAGAAGGCATCTACTATGAAGAGGCGGATGTCATTTGATCAAAGAGTAAGTAGTAATAATTAGAACGGGCTGTCAAGCGAAGTTGTAGAAGTCCCTCTCTGGCAATACCTAACATCGTTTGGACAAGTGCTATCGGTCTTGACATTTCATCTACTGATAAATTCAGGCATGTCAGATCGTATGATTATGTGCGAGGATGTGCGGTACGCATCGGTACGCAAATCTGAGGTAGGCCAGCCTCGATGGGCCCTTGTGGCCCTTTGTTGGCCAGATGCCTTTATGTATTTTATGTTTAGTTTCGATTTCAATGAAAACGTGTTTGACGGAAAGTCGTGGCACGAGGTCACCGCATCTGACATCTGTTTTCAATATCACATCTATCATATTCATGGCCAGATGATGGGAAACTCCATAAACCAAATCCTCAAAATCGCAGTCAGCCTCCATTATCACTTGAAGTCGGGTATTCTGCGGATGAATGGTCGCATGTCATTAGCATGTCGGACTCCCACTCATGTGGGAGTGGGCACGTTTTCACGGACACGTGGGGGCTCGGGTTCGAGTCCCTATTGCGCCATGGCTCCTGGGCGCTACGCACTCGATCTGCTCCGTGGAAGGACGTGACAGCTTGGTGTCACGTTCTCTTTTTAATAAAAAAATGAGGTATTGCCTGCCCAAAATTTCACCTCTCAAGGTCCCCCTTCCAGATCAAGCTCAATAGAAATGACGGGGAACTTAACATATCAGCCAAGCTTTGCAGGCCGATTTCATGTGAATGAAATCGCCTATTCGATGTGAATCGATGTTCTGTTATGTAGACCACAGGCGGTGACAGGCAATTTAGGTCAGCAGTGGCGACATGGATTTTAAGTTGGGGGAGCAGGATTTTCAATCTTTCTGGACAAAATTGTCTCTCTATGTTACGCACGGCTTTTCTGATTAATACCGCTAGTAAGGTTTTTTTCTTGCTCCACTCTCAGGCAGCATATGCCATACTGGCCACCATTTACGTTACGCGGTGATGATTTTCCGAGTTTTATCTTTAGTCGTCGTTTTCTTAAACTCGATTTTCGCCGTCCGCGTAACTGGAAGTATTGGCTCCTTATTTTTCAGCAATATCGTCTGAGGAAAGAGAGATGAGAGAAGAGAAGAGAGAGAGAGAGAGAGAGAGAGAGAAGTGAAGAGAGAGGAGAGAGAGAGAGAGAGAGAGAGAGAGAGAGAGGAGAGAGAGAGAGAGAGAGAGAGGAGAGAGATGAGAGGAGGAGGAGAGAGGAGAGAGAGAGAGAGAGGAAGAGGAGAGGAGAAGCGAAGGAGGAGAGAGAGGAGAGAGAGAGGAGAGAGAGAGAGGGGAGAGAGAGAGAGAGAGAGAGAGAGAGAGAGAGAGAGAGAGAGGAGGGAGAGAGGAGAGAGAGAGAGAGAGAGAGGAGGAGAGAGAGAGAGAGAGAGAGAGGAGAGGAGAGAGAGAGGAGAGAGAGAGAGAGAGAGAGAGAGGAGAGAGAGAGGAGAGAGAGGAGAGAGAGAGAGAGAGAGAGAGAGAGAGAGAGAGAGAGAGAGAGAGAGAGAGAGAGGAGAGAGAGGAGAGAGAGAGAGAGAGAGAGAGAGAGAGAGAACATCGTGTTAATTAGGGTGGTTATATACGGAATACCTGGTTTCTTCAAGTATTCCGCATATAACCACTCACCGTCATGCT